CTATTTTCTATATTCAAGGATAAAAAGCTATCTGCTATACTTACAAATTAAAGCTATCTACTGTACTTAAAAAATCAAAAGCTATTTGCTGCGAGTGTATTCATAAAATCAAAAGCTATTTGTTACATTCAAAAAACTAAAGCTGAACAAAAGAGAGTCACAAAATCAAGGAATGCAAATTACTTCCTTTAAACGCTGCGCAAATACTAGGGCGCCCTAAGGGAATAGTGGATAGCGGCGCTGAGTGCCGCACCGAAGGGCCCAGTTCGAATCCCGGAGAAGGCATGCATGTTTTAAATGTATAGGGTTTGTGCGGCATGGTGGCATTCTAAATATGCAGCCAGTCGAAAGTCCTCTCGAGATTTGGTTTTGGGGCAAGATGGGTGGGAGACTCTCTGACATGTCTCCCTGGGTCCCTCCTCCATCAAAATTGGCCCCGGAACTGAGCAAAGTCGCACTGTCATATGTATGGTCACCTGATAGAATCACCTTCGCCAGGAATCGAACCGCGAACCTCTGGAATATGCGCCCAGCGTGCAGACCACCACACCACGAAGGCATGCCAAGAAGGCGAGAGAAATACCTTATGTACTCCCCCTTATAAAGGGCGACTGGGGTTTTTAGGGTCCCAATCGCCAAATCCTGGGTGTGGAGAATCATCATCCGTTGGATGAACCCTTTTAGTTCGGGTGCCATTGTAGAGTCATAGGATTTTGTTTTTGGAAGCAAGAGAGATTGAAAAATCAGCAACGCCTTCGCGGAGAATCGAACCTTGGACCTCTGGAATACGCGCCCAGCGTGCAGACCACCACACCACGATGATATGCAAAGAAGGCGGGAAAACTACTTTATAACCTCAGGGATATTGACAAAGACAGGCGCAGTTCTGCACTCCTTGCTACGATGATTGTTCTGATGTTACTGTTAGGCAAGTGATATAAGTCACGGTAACAACAACAACAAATACTATAATTTGTGATAAAACTCTGGTTTTGGCTTATCGAGAGAGAAATGAGAGAACATTTCTTCAGCAGGTTTTGAACAACATTAATTTATCAATTTGAAGGCATTGGAGTTATAGGAAAAAGTTAATAACAAACTGATCTGTGAGGAACGCTTAACAAAATTTCGACTATTAATTTAGAACACAAACAAAAAAAAATCAACGTTATATTTGCAAATTTTCACAAGACTAGTTTGAATGGTTTTACCGAACCATAACCCTCAGCTGCCAAGTGCAAGAACAGTAAGATTAGTGATTCGATACGTAAAATGGCTTACTGCGCCATATGATGAAGAGAAACAAAAAATACTAGTAAGCAAAGATGGATGGAATTAGGTCTTTAACAGACAGAAAGATTTTTGTGTGAACCCTTAGAAATTCTATCCCAAAGAATTGCTTTCGGATACCCGGCTCTTGGCTGAATTTGGCGAGTTTTTGGCCGCCATCTTGGATTTCAGAAATGCGCCAAAAAGCGCATTTCGAAATCCAAGATGGCGGCCAAATATTGTTTTCCCTATCCGAGGGAAGTGGACAGGGAAAACAATTCTGAACTGCCAAAAGGAAAAATTGAACTTACCCTTGTTCATGTTGACATGATGACGCCTGACATTCCCTATTTCTTCAATGTTGTACAACATAGTTAATGTTATATTACTAAGCATGATATGATAACTTACTAATTGTAATTCAGTCTAAAGTAATAGAACAAGAAATTTTAATTAACGTGTACTTTAACGAGTGAAATGTTTTGCATGAAACGCTATAGGGCGAAGAAGTACTTACGCTCAAACTGTAAACAATCGATTTAAAAGAAAGCTTCCAACCTAAAAATTTGACTTGCATGTAATTTCGGCATTATATTATTTGGCATTTAAATTAATAATGAATTTATATTTAAATTAATTATGTTATGCAGGTAAGTGTATGATAGTTAAACATGATATATATGGATGAGAAATGAAAAATTAGAACATTTATTAAGGTATTTGTAATATATGCTAAGTTCTTTTTAAGAAACTTATTTTTCAGTATATAGCACTCATTTTTTTTTATTAATTAATCAATTTGAACATATATTTTCTATTTTTCCCTGTGTTAGAATTTCAACTTTTTTTTAATTAATCAATTTAAACATACATTTCTTAACTTATTTTTCAATATGCAAGAATTTCAACTCTTTTAATTAATCAATTTAAACATATATTTCTTAACTTTTGTTTCAATATGTAAGAATTTCACCTTTTTTAATTAATAAATTTAAACAAATATTTCTTAACTTATGTTTCAATATGCTAGAATTTCATATTTTTTAATTTATCAATGTAAACATATATTGCAAAATGAAGGTACTTACCCCTAGATGACATTGCTTGTACAATCTTTGTCTTCTTAAATTATGTTATTTATATTTATATAAAAATTTCACTTTTTCACAAGAAAATTTTTATCCAGGTTCTCACAGTTTCACCTTTTCACAAGAATATTTTTATCCAGGTTCTCACAGTTTCATCTTTTCACAAGAAAATTTTTATCTAGTTTCTCACAGTTTTGCAAGAAAATATGTATCCAGGTTCTCACAGTCAACAAGTTCACAAGAAACTGTGTATATGATAACCAGGGCTAGAAAGGGGGCATATGTCCGTGGGCACATCATCCAAGGGAAGCCAAAATGATGTTACGAATTTTTAGAGTTGAATGTTTTCCATTTTTGGCCAGTAGTCGGGAGGGGCACAAAATCTTCAGTTTTCCCTGGGCGCTGAAAACAGTAACTATGACTCTGCTGATAACTTATAAAATTTCATTTTTTCACAAGAAAAACTGTTATAGATTCATTCCTTGTTAAAATCCAATACTTCGTTTCACTGAACTCCACTCTTATAGATCGAGGCCTGTTCATCAGATCTGAAAAAGAACAATTTTTACAAGCATTTTGCATTTTGAAATTAGAAATGATTCCATTTCCACATCACCTTAAGACTTACACGTACTTAAAAAAAGAAAAATCTTTTCTTCTGCTTTTTGACTATTCATTTTAATTGAAGCATTACCAAATTTTGTAAATTAGAGTTTTTATAATTATATTTAAATCAATTATTTATAAAAAATATTTATGCGGGTATTATCATATAATTTCGTTTAAAAAATAGGCACTATCTATTTTCACATTACTTGACGTTACATGCAGGTTAAAGTGATTTTTAATTAAATCTAAATTTGATAAAAAAAATAGAAACAGTAAGAAATGTGATTAATGATATTAGTGAAACAAAATAGTTACAAATAATCCCAATTTTTAAGCTAGTACGTGTAAGACTAGGAGGTAGGAATCCTGATGCGTTTTTTTTTTACGAGGTTTCGCCAGGAGCCATAATCCTCTAATTTTAATGTGTACACATATATTTTATATTACTTACCATTCAGCACCACATTTTGCAGTTTTCAGCAGTATTACTTGGCAGTTCACTATTTGGAGTTTTTTGTAGAGAAAATATCCATGTTATATATGTTCAGAATACAAGATAAATAAACAAGATTTTAAATTTCATGATCGTCGAGATTTCCTGTGGTGGCAGCAGTTGCTCAGTTCCTTCGCTTTCAGGTGTGGCCCGCATCAGTCGTTTCAACTCGGATGTGTTTCTTGAAAGAAAAACCTGGCTATACCCCCAGGTACTGGGTTTGTCATCCGAGTTGATTTCTCCATCTGCTTCTTCCCTCGTCTAAGTGGCAGCAAAATGTTATTTTTGAAGTCCCTAAACAAAATATCCATATTATGCATATTCAAAATACAAGATAAGTAAACAAGATTTTAAATTTCATGATCGTCGAGATTTCCTGCGGTGGCAGCAGTTGCTCAGTTCCTTCGCTTTCAGGTGTGGCCCGCATCAGTCGTTTCAACTCGGATGTGTTTCTTGAAAGAAAAACCTGGCTATACCCCCAGGTACTGGGTTTGTCATCCGAGTTGATTTCTCCATCTGCTTCTTCCCTCGTCTAAGTGGCAGCAAAATGTTATTTTTGAAGTCCCTAAACAAAATATCCATATTATGCATATTCAAAATACAAGATAAGTAAACAAGATTTTAAATTTCATGATCGTCGAGATTTCCTGCGGTGGCAGCAGTTGCTCAGTTCCTTCGCTTTCAGGTGTGGCCCGCATCAGTCGTTTCAACTCGGATGTGTTTCTTGAAAGAAAAAAAACCTGGCTATACCCCCAGGTACTGGGTTTGTCATCCGAGTTGATTTCTCCATCTGCTTCTTCCCTCGTCTAAGTGGCAGCAAAATGTTATTTTTGAAGTCCCTAAACAAAATATCCATATTATGCATATTCAAAATACAAGATAAGTAAACAAGATTTTAAATTTCATGATCGTCGAGATTTCCTGCGGTGGCAGCAGTTGCTCAGTTCCTTCGCTTTCAGGTGTGGCCCGCATCAGTCGTTTCAACTCGGATGTGTTTCTTGAAAGAAAAACCTGGCTATACCCCCAGGTACTGGGTTTGTCATCCGAGTTGATTTCTCCATCTGCTTCTTCCCTCGTCTAAGTGGCAGCAAAATGTTATTTTTGAAGTCCCTAAACAAAATATCCATATTATGCATATTCATAATACAAGATAACTAAACAAGGTTACGATAATGAAAACATAAGTTAGCGTATATATAAACACTTTTATTAAATGTTTTAATATTTTTTCTAAAAGTGTTCTTTCTGTTGTTTAGTTTTAATCTTTTGTTAACTACATACTCTTTTTAACTAGAAAATAATAATTGAACATAGTACAAAAATACACAATTACCACAAAAGGGTGGCAAGTTTAAGAAGTTAATAATGTAAGATTGAATCCTTATATTTAAAATAATAAATAAACGGTAAAATTAAAATAATAAACGTAGTATGAAAATACATAATTAAAATAAACAGGCTGGAAACATTAAAAGTAATGAATTCACCTGTATATTTTCTGACTGAAGATTCATTTCTTTCCATGATTCATTTCTCATTTCTGCAATATTCTTTACCTGAAAGGGGTGATAAATTATCCTTAACAATAAAATGTTTTCTGGTAAGAAGTAGGCTGGAAACCTTTAAATTAATCAACTCACCTCTATGTTTGTCAATTTATCTGTCAAAATTAGTTTTCTTCTTTCTTTTATTTATTTTTTTGGATTACCTAATTTGCAATAAAGTTTTTTTTACTGAAAAATAAGTAGGTAAACTTATACTAATAATAACTAAATAAATTTTACAGTTGCTTTTACTGAAGGAGTAGTATTAAAATAAAGTGAAGCACTAATTTGAAACATAAGCTGTGAATGGTTAAAATTTTGTCTTACCTCTGTCATAGTATTTCATGACATTTTGGATCTGCAGCTGTGAAAGAAAGTTTATTTTAATGAAGGAATAACAAAATATATAAAGAATAGCTCTCACGTCAAAATAAAAGTTGAGAATAACTGAAATACACATTTACCTCTTTCTGTAAAAGATATGCAACATTTTCGCAACATTTCCATCCTTTTGTTTTCTGGGCTCTGTTTTTTGGTTGAATTCTAAAAGGAAATAAAAAATAACAATTTCATGTAGTGAAAAACAAAAAGGTATTAAATCAAAATTTGTGGACCATCTGAACATTTACACAAATTATAGTAAACAATTTACTTGTATGCTTTTCTTATCATTTATTCCAGTTTTAAAACTTGGTCTGTGTTCCCTTACTCTGAAAAATAAGCACATAGATTATAATGGTATGTAATTTAATATTTAAATGCAATTTTTGTATGTATATATATATGTAAATAAATAAATTATGTCAAAAATAAAGTTATATTTGTTGGTTTTACCCCATTTATCATCATCTTCCTGAATGAATGGTATATCATCATCTTGTCGGGCTGATTTCTTTGGAGGCATCAGGTCCTCAATTCCTTCGCTTTCTGATGTTGGTTCGTCCAACATTTTAAGTTCAAGGCCGACTTTTCCATGGCCTGGATACACAGCTTTAATGTCCTGTAGAAACTGAGCAAGTCTTTCTCCATCATAAGTAAAGGGCTTCAAGCGGAACCGCCTGTAATAATGTACAGCCATGTACTGCGTGCAAATATCATCTGTTCTCTTGCTCTTTATAGACCTCTTAAAAAGTTTGTTTTCACCCTCAAGATCATTTATAGTGTTCTGTTTATCATCGGGATCTACGAATACGCCTGTAAATAAAGGATTAATGAATGTTAAGGATGGAAAAAAAAATGTCACTCATTAAAAAAAAAGACACATATTTACCTTTCTTGTGATTGGTAGTTTTATGTGTTGCTGCCGGAAATAAATTTTCTATCCTTTTATATTGTGGAGCAGAGTCAGTGTATATGAAGGTGGTTTCTGGGTGAACATGACGTTTAATGTAAGGCCACAAATGCCTTTTGCTTTTTCCTTTAACCTTGAAAAATAATCCTTCTTTGTCTTCTCGACAGTAGATGCCTAAAACTACGATGGTCATATTTTTGGTTACCCTGCCGCGGTTGTACTTGCGGCGGGTCAAAAATGTTTCATCAATTAATATAGATTTTCATTTCGCATACCTCACGACAATATGATAAAAAGTCAACAATAGTCTCATTTGCAATTACTGGTAATTTTTGCTTTTCCCTCCATAGCTTTAGCTGCTGATTTATGTAGCTAAAACTGTGATCTAGAACAAAGTACACAGTTATGACTAAAGCTTCCCTTATTGGGATTTTTGTACCTTCAAAAAAGGTGTTTTCAATGGGGTTAATCATGCCAGAGCAGTTGTTGCGATTTCTCAGGCTGCAGACCCAACGCCATCCCAGCTTTGATTCCTTTCTCTTGTTGCTTCTCATCGGTGCCTGGCACTTGGGGCAAGGTGGTGCCTCATCCTCTCTGGGAAGAAGTCCAGCATCGGTGGCAAACTCGAGTGCAGCTGCCTCTGTATTAATTAAATGCATGTCAGTAATTAAACAGAAATATTTCAGTTTTTCATGCAAAGAAGCCATATTCAAAAAAGTCAGTACAGTGACAGAAATAGTTTAATGAAATTTATTGTTAGAAATTTCAGAAACTTGGCAATTATGCAAAAGTCAAAACTATCAGAAATAAAAAAGTTTAATAAAGATGAAAAGTAATTATAAGTTTAATTAAACAATATTAGTTCATTATAGGAAGATAGAGAAGTGAAAAGTTCAAACTAGAAAGTACTGTTACAAAAAAAAAAAAAAAAAAAAAAGGAAAATAAAAATAATAGTAATGATATGTATCTATGAAAACAAAGTATTAAAACAAATTTCAAGTGAAAAATAATATTAAAAAATGTAATGGATGAAAATAGATTAAAAGTAAACTTAGCTTTGGCAAAGTCCAAACCACGTTTTCACGTAAGTACCGAGGTACTGATTTTTTTCAGTACCTGACAGACAGACAGACAGCTGCACGGGCTTAACCGCGGCAAAATATGATCGCGAAAAATCTTCTTTTTTAAATTTATTTAAAATATTTTCGAAAAAAAAAATATTTTACTTTACAAATAAATGTTTTTCGGTACATATGTTTTTTTAAAACATTTTTAAACAGAGATGCAGAAGAATAATAGGTATTGTTATTTTTGTGTGCAGATATGCGTGCGTGATGAACTAAAAAATGATTTTGAAGGTTTCGTGGCATATTTATCCTCTCAAAAATATGCAACTTGCTCAACTTTTCGATTTTATTAAATTAAATAAGGCCTATCGATTTTTTTTTTTTTTTTTTTTTTTTTTTTTTTTTTTAAGCACTGACAATGAAAGCTGTTATGTTCTATTTTTGCGTTTTTATCCCAAAGCGCGTTAGCCCAGAAGGGCTATTAATTTCGTTTTCGCATTTTGCGTTGAACTGTTTCTACCGAATATTATCGCTGTGTGTTATATTTAAAGATATTTAATAATAAAGAATCAGCATAAATATACGTATGTTTAACGTACATAACATTTATGCAGATACTGTGATAAAACAACGGTACCTACAGCTATGAAATTTTGAATATGTACGTCACCACCCGAATATGGGCATCTGAAAGCTCAAATTTGTAATTTGTTTTATTAACTATTTAACATTTTGTAAAGCATTTATGTGTTTTTGATTAAGAAAACTCGACGATTTCTAAGCGAGCAATGGCAACACTGTTCGGCGCAAGACTGTCTATCGGAAATTCTAAAGATATGCTCTTCTTTTAAATGTTTTGTCATATTGCTGCTTAAGAGAGAAGACAGTTCGGATGTACAAAATTTAAAGACCGCATGTCTGTTGATTTTGAAAATTCATTTCCATTGAATTTAACAATTGTTTTCAGTTGGCGAGAGGTATACATCTCTGTTGTACACTATTATTGGTAACCTTTAATTGTTGGTTATTTGTTACATTTTTTTGTCTTTCATATTGCCCTGGCTGCATTGGAAATTTCGTGGTTTTCCTCGTGTGTATACGAGCCAGTACAATTACACTAATGAATCATATCACTTAAATAATGTGAATAATTATAGAATTATTATATAAGTGTAGAATAATTGGGTTGGTTGTTATGTTCACGAGTTGTGTGTAAATGCGTGGCTTTGTGTGATTATGTAATTAATTAATGAAGATTTCAGCAGCGGCCTGGCGGTAAAGTGTGTGAGCACTGGTAGTTCTGTCCGAAGTTCGAATCCCGCTAATGCGCGGTTGCTTGTTATGTTCACGAGTTGTGTGTAAATGCGTGGCTTTGTGTGATTATGTAATTAATTAATGAAGATTTCAGCAGCGGCCTGGCGGTAAAGTGTGTGAGCACTGGTAGTTCTGTCCGAAGTTCGAATCCCGCTAATGCGCCGGTTGCTTGTTATGTTCACGAGTTGTGTGTAAATGCGTGGCTTTGTGTGATTATGTAATTAATTAATGAAGATTTCAGCAGCGGCCTGGCGGTAAAGTGTGTGAGCACTGGTAGTTCTGTCCGAAGTTCGAATCCCGCTAATGCGCTGGTTGCTTGTTATGTTCAGGAGTTGTGTGTAAATGCGTGGCTTTGTGTGATTATGTCATTAATTAATGAAGGGTTCAGCAGCGGCCTGGCGGTAAAGTGTGTGAGCACTGGTAGTTCATCTCATTACACATATACTAGCTACGCATATATACATTATAGACAGTGGTGTAACTAGAATTCTTGGTCCCGTATGCAAAATAATTTCCTGGGTCCCTAAACCAATAAATTTAATGTGCTTAAAAATAAAAATTAAACTAAAGAAAAAAACGTGAAAAGTAAAAAAAAAAAAAAAAAAAAATCAAGGATTCCTGGAGCCAATGTTTTCATGATTTTTATCACATCTGGATTAATTGTTAAAAAATAAAAGCACGTTCTCAGGGAACCATTTGAAAGTTATGTAATATGAAGAAAGAATAAAAAGGAAAATATTTCCCCTTTGCTAACTGGTGAAATGCAAATTTGCTTTAGTCTGGGTATTTGACGTCAGATGATTTTAATTCTGTAATTTAAGACTTTTTGTGTGCGTGCGTGTGAGTGATAGATAATTGATATTGACAGACAAGATAATTGATAAACGTACAGAAAAAATATTACATCAATAGATAGTACTCTGTGATTTTACTCAACTTACGAACATAATTTATGCAATAATATACAAGTACATTTGTTAAATATAAAACATATTTATCATAAACTTCATAAAGAAAACTATTTGAATATACAATTTTAGTAGAAAATATGTAATATTTTTGCTGTCCTTTTAAAAATCCTTTTGGTACACTAAACTACTTGAATACATCATTTTTATAAAAAAACATGAATGCTAAAGATTTTTCCTGTTTCTTTTTAATTTTCCCTCAGCCCGTACTGCTGTTCTTCTCTAATTCCCCCCCCCTCAATAAGTGTAATTATAACACTGGTGACCGAAATTCATCATAAAGACAAAAATCTTTTTTATTAAAATTTGCGTCTCCTAACCTTCATTTCCGCAAAATTATTTATCAATACCTGGACGTCCATTTTCACAGCCATGTCAACTTCAACGCTCAATAGTGATAGGTTTTAACAACCGATCTTGTATCATAGTGTTTCTTAAATATGTTTTTATTATTGAAAATGACCTCTCGCTCGTGGCTTTGGTTACAGATAATGAATGATAAATACAATATAAGTTAATTGCACTCCCGATTAACTGCTTGTCATGTCATAGTATTTTACCATTGCTAATTTAGCTAAATCCTTAACGGATTTCAAATTTTGGATATCTGTTCTGAAAGTATTTATAAATAATAAAAGTTGTACTTCCAGTACATTAGCAAAGTCTTCTTTATATTTTTTTCTGTATTTTTGAAACATTATTAATAATTTCCGTATTTGTTAACAATGACAAATATTCGTGATTTTCCGCATGTGTAACGTTTATGAAGTATGTTGTGGATGCATATGTGAATAAAGCGGGCGCAGCCCGCTTAGACCGCTGAACACTGGTAATTCGGTCCAACGTTCAAATCCCGGCTAACGGGCTGGCTGAATGCGTGTTTTCTTGATTTTCCGCATGTGTATGATGTTTGCAGTATCTTCTGGATGCATACGTGAATAAAGCGGGTGCAGCTCGCGCAAAACCGTTTAACGCTGGTAGTTCGGTCCAACTTTCGAATCCCGGAAAACAGACTGGGTCCATGGGTGTTTGGGTGATTTTACGTATGTGTACCGTGTATGCAGTATCTTCTGGATGCATAGGTGAATAAAGCGGATGAATCCCGCGAAAAACCGTTGAACGCTGGTTATTCGGTCCAACTTACGAATACCGGCTAGCGGGTTGGCTGCATGGGTGTTTTCGTGATTTTACGCATGTGTATTGTGTGCGGAGTATCTTCTGGATGAATACGTGAATAAAGCAGGCGTAACCCGGTCAAAAAACCGTTAAACGCTGGTAGTTCGGTCCAACTTTTGAATCCCGGCCAACAGGCTGACTCTATATGTGTTTCAGTGATTTTCCGCATGTGTATTGGGAATGCAGTATCTTCTGGATGCACAAGTGAATAAAGCGGGCGCAGACCGCGCAAATCCGCTGAACACAGGTAGTTCGGTCCAAAGTTCGAATCCCGGCGAGCGGGCTGCCTGCTTAGGTGTTTTCGTGATTTTACGCATGTGTGACGTGTATGCAGTATCTTCTGGATGCGCACGGGAATAAAGCAGGGGGAACCCGCGCAAAACCGCTGAACCCTGGTAGTTCGGTCCAACTATGGCATAACGGTGATATTTAACATAGGAACTCTTATACACGTCAACAATTAAAAGCGGGCTTCAGCCCGCTAGTTATTAATAATTTCCGTATTTGTTAACAATGACAAATACGGAAATTTAAGTTCCAAAAATGAAAACATCATTGCGATTTTTGTTATTCCAGTCATTCTGTATTTTAACTGAGTATTTAAAATGTCGAGAGCAGCATAAAAAACTGTTACTTTAAAAGACATTTCGGAATTTTCAAGCCTGTTATCCTCACATAACTCATCAATATTTTCTTGTTTTTATTTTCTTCTATTTTTCAAATTTAGTTTCTATGTCCCATTTATTTTATATACAAAAATTTGTATATAAAATTTGTATATAAATTTGTATATTTGTATTTTTGTGAATATACAAGAATTGTATATTCAAAACTCTGCTTCTTTCATAATGTCTTCAAACTTCTTTCTCATATCTTGCATATTAATAGAAACGCTTTTTACATGTTGGTGAGCTCCATTCAAGTCGATTGATTTTCGATTGTCGAGTCGATTGATTGATTGATAGATCCTGCAGATACAGCGCAGGACGTGTTTAAAAAATTTTGTTTTTAATTTTTGGCATTTTGCCAGAAATGTTTAATAATTTGTAGTTAAGCTCATCGACACAACGTATATTTCAAGATGAGAACTCACACTCTGTCACATGGATTTTAAAAGTAGTACACATAAATACTTGTTTTATACTTTCCTAAACAAGTATAACGTTTAGTTAAAATAAAGTTGTATGAAACAAGTTTTGCGTACTTTGCAGAGAAATGCGCAAAACTTCATTTAATGAAAATAGGTTTGTGGTGGATCAAAAAGCAAAAATCAGTTAGGAAATGCGGATATATTTTAGGAGCATTAATATTTATGATTATTGTTATCTGCTTTATTTGCATCTTGAAAAACTATTAATGTCTCGGAAATTAATGACCTCAGATTTCCAGTTTTTACGCTGCTTATAAATTAAGCAGTATCAATTTTTTTATCTATCTATCTATCATTAATTTATTAAAGACAAAAATATAAAAAAATAAATATAATGTATGGGAACATATATTAACGGAAGCTATTTATGTCTTAGAAAAGTTATGCAGTGGTTCTGAAATGAAAGATAGTAATGTACAAAGGGATTATATGAGTGAAAATCGCTTCATTTATTATTAAAACGTATTAAATAAATTTTTTAATTTGCGAAAATTATTGAAATATTGTAATAACGGGGGAGAATTCTTTTCTGAAATATTCCATTCGTTTGTGTGGTGAAAATAGCAATGTAATTCGCGTTCTTTCAAATGTTGAAATGCAACTTAAAACTATTAGGTCCAACGCTGCCATTGATATGCTTAATATTTTCAGTAATTAATTTATCGAAATTTACGAAGTAGTATATACTTTTAGTTGTGTGATACCATTTTTATTATCATTATTATATTATTATTGACGGTTTCACGTACTGTATTGACGGTGCTGTAGAAAGTAAATTAAAAGCAAAAGTAAAGTAAATTGTAAAATTTAATTTCAAATAACAATTAGAAAGGCGTTCTTGCCCTCCCGCTTATTAGTGTAAATAACAGAGAAAAAATCTATCTGCCTTTAACTTTGCCATTTGGTAATGTCAATCGTACTTCTAAATCCAAACTTTTTCTGTCCCTAACCATGCCTCTTCGTGCGACTGCACAGGTTGCAAGTACTGTCGTTTATTACATTGTGAGAACTATACATTTAAACCTGCAATTTCTTCCTTATTTAATGATAGTAAGAGATTCAAGATATGAAAAAAATTAAACGCTACGGAATGACTTGCAAAGTTCATTCCAAATT